CCCGGCCCGGCCCAGCCCGGCCCGCGCGCCGCCCTCACCGGGGTCCCCCGTCCTCCCATTCCCTCCCCGCCCCGCCCTGTGCCTGCATCTGTCCATCACCCCGTCCCCCCATCTCCCGGTGCCTGCATCCCCCCGTCCCTCCGTGCCTGCATCCTCCCTACCTTCCTGTGCCCGCATCCCTCCATCCCTTAAGACCTCTGTCCGTTCCTCCATCCCCTCATCCTCTCTGTCCTTCCATGTCCCCATCCCTCCACCCTTCTATCCCCTGCTCCTTCATCCCTCCATCCTTCAATCCCCCTATCTTCCATCCCTCCATCCCCCATCCTTTCAGCCCTCTGTTCTTCCATCCCTCTATCTCTCCATCTTTCCATCCCTATACCACCCTGCCATCCTCCCATCCCTCTATCCCCCTATCCCTCTGTATCCTGCAGGTATGGGGAGAGGTTCAGCCTCACTCCCAGCCTCCCACTTTTCAACCCATCAGCGTGGGAATCTCTGGGTGCTGTTGAGGGGGAATGCACATGCCTGTGTCCCCTTACTGTTCTTGCACAGCACCTGCAGCGCCAGGAGGATGGGATAATGTCCTGTGGGAGCTTGCAGGCGAGCGAGCGGCAGCCTCGCTGCCTCCCATCCCACACGGAGCTGCTGTCCAACGGGGCCAGCCCGGGCGGGCACGGAAAGGTTGTGGTGAGCAGGGACACAGCCGGAGTGGGAGGTGGCGGGTGAGAGCCCTGGGCTGCCTGCGCTGCCCAAGGGGCAGGAAGCTGCTGTGCCCACCAGCACAACCGGAGCAGGGAGCAGCAGGGAGCTGCTGTGCGTGCCAGCTGCCCTGGCAGCTGGGGGCTGCACATCGCACCAGGAGCATTGCCTGCTGTACACTGCACCTGTTAGCAAGCCAGAACCTCCTCGCCTCACTAAGTTTTTCCTTATTTATTTTTTTCTCTTTTCGATATGTTTGGAAATGCACATCTGCAATTGAACAGCCCTCAAGTACCCTGCAAATTCCTTGTGCAATTTTTGGTGGGGGAAGCCCACTTCTGTACATGTCCCAGAGCTCCTGCAGGCATTTGTTCTGTGCAGCTGTAGGCAGGTTTCACAGTGAAAGGAACATCTGACGTTGCTTCTGCTGGGTCAGTGTAATTGCAAGCCCAATGAAATGTCTGTTCTCCAGCTGTCAAATAAATCTCCCAAAGATGCCACAACAAGCCCTTTAAAGGTGTAGAGAAGGTCTAGGTCTGAAGGCACATCTATACACACTAGCATACTTAGATATCCACCACAGCTCTTTGCAAAATCTCAGTGCCTTCCTCTCAGATATCATCTCCCCATTCATTTCTTCTGCAGCAGCAGGGCTGCTTATCTCTCTGCAACTCCAGTCCTTACTGGTCAGGACTGCGCAGGAGCAGGCACTAGGCTGTTTCTGCCTGAGACGTTGAGATTGGGACAGGCTGAGAAACCTCAGTGTCCTGTTAGTCAGCCTTGAGTAAGAGAGACAGGCACACCTGGGAAGATGCAGGTCAAGCAAGGAGGGCTGGGAGGCATCTATCATCGCCCAGAAGAACAAGGGCTTCATGGCAGCATGGGGAGTTCAGGTACTTCACCACTGCAACCCTGGGGCTTGGGACCCCTGATCTTGGGATGTACTCAGCAACCTCAGGTCTCCCAAGGTGAGAAGGCAGTGAGGATGCTCAACATTTGTAAAATCAGTCCCAGATCTGCTCTTTAGGTACAGTCTCCCACAAAGTGAGGTAGGGAGAGGACTGCCTTGGATTAATCAAAGCATAGTAGTCAAGGTTTGACCGTGCCCACCAAATCGATAGGAAGGTAGAGCATAAATAAGCCTTGCATTTTTTCCCCCAAGAGTCCCACCCCCGACAGGGTCTGGTCTGTTTTCATAGTTTTATTTTATGGTGCCTCCTTGTGCTCAGAGCCCAGTAATTGGCTGGAGCCTCTAGTCTTCACTGCATTACAAATAATAATACAGAACTATCTGCATTCCTCTAGTCCTTTTGGTAGACAGAGATTTTATAATCCTGGTTTCTAATATACTGTGCTCTTGCTTCCATTTCTGCTCAACATTTCTGGCTGAATTTAGTTGTGCTTAAGTTGACAGCTACCCTCTAGCCTCCATATCTCAACATTCCTCCCCAATAAGGCCACATATCTGAGAGTGATTTAAATTTAAAACAACAGTAATAATAGCAGGAGCAAAATCCAGCCTCTTCATTAAGTTTTGGAATGGTATCTTTTCCTCTCGTGCCTCTTCTGCTAGAATTATAGAGCCTTCAAGGGTAATGCTCTTGCACTAGCCACTGCCTTTCAGCTATGTCATGCAATGCAAATAAATACCACGTGAATGGATTTCGGGCTGCCCTATTCATGTTGCTGTTTATCCTCATTATAAAATGTGTGTGCTCCTCTAAGCACTGCTTTTGCTGCTGTCCTCCATTAATTCTGGGTTATTATACATCAGTAATCACCATTCATCGCCTCTCTCTCTGTCTTGGCAGGAAGGCGCTTTTCTTCTCCTCCCTTGTTTGCTTTCTTCTGGTGTGTGTGTGTTTGTTTCCTGCTCCATTATGTAACGCTGGTTCTAGCAGCCAGGACACCCTGGGTCTAGCTTTGATGACTTCGAAGATGACTTCACTTGACTGTGATGACTTACCTCAGAGATCATGTTTTCCTCCCAAGTAGCTTCAGTAAGCACTCTCTGTACTTCTCTCTGGGGCTTGATCAGGAAGCTGTAGTAAGAAAGTAAAGACAGTTTCCTGGTAGCAAACCGGGCATGCTGCTTCCTAAGATTTGTGTCAGAGGAAGAGATGCTCAGATTTTCAGAGGTTTTTCTCCTCCTCTGCCCACGCAGGCAGCACGCTGCCCCGTGCTGAAGCTCAGTAGAAGGAGGAACCAGGTTCTGGTTGAATCATCAGTAAAGCAGAAGTGAGAGTCATCTCATCTTGGATCAGCAAAATTTGGTGAATCCTGTGTATTACCAAAGGTGGGATCATATCTCCTTGTTGTGCTCTGAAGTTTGGATTTCAAACCAAGAGGCAGAAGGCTCTCCCTGCGAGTATGTATCTTCCCCTCTCTTAACAGGGTCTGAAAAGACGCTTATGGAAAGAGGTTCTATTTCCTAAAGCTTTTGACTTCTATGCAGAGGCAGGCATAAAATTAATTTCTTCCTGCTGGCGTAAGATTGCTAATACTTCTTATATCCAGATTTCAATGTACTAAAATACCCAAATATAGAAATTGCAATGAAAACTGAGACTGTTCCTGGTTTATTGCAAAACAAACTGCCTATGAATAATGATTGATACTGCATAGAGTCCTCAATGTCTTGTAACTAAATTAGAGAGAAAAGAGAGGCACACAGAAACAAACGTAAGTACCAGAACTGGTTCGTATTCTGCAGTTATCTGTTCTGGATGTAGCCCACGTTGTGTGGCTTTTGGGACTTTTAGATGTATTTGAACACAGGACTTGGTGCATAGCATAAACTTTACCCATGCCCTTGGCTCAGGTGGCAAGTTCCATACAATGCCATCTGTAGCCTGATGAGATTCATCCTTATATTTTTAAATAATGAAATTCTGAATCCGTCTGTTAGGAAAGATAACCTTCACTATGTAAATCAACGCAGTGGTATTTTGTTGAGTTTGCCAACAGACAAATAACGCTAATATATGTGTGAATTTTCCCAATGCTAACTTTGAAATATATCTGAGGCCATTTAAATGCCAACACTTTTAAGTCACTAGTCAAAATAAAAACACCCAGCTTGAGTTACTGAAATTTAATTATAAGGAACAGCTGGGGCTGGTTTTGATTTTGACTCTAAGGACCCAGAAAAAGAAACCAGCACATGGGCTCCATAGGCTGACATACACACAGAGTCTCTAGCCCCAAGGGAATGCAGCCAGACTGAGTACTCTCCTTGTTCTTCATACTGGTCAGGCACAGATGCAGAAAAATGCACTAAAATCCCCTGCAAGGAGGATTCAATTACTCTTAAAGCAGACATCTAGGGTCAAGCAAAAAGAAACTTAAGTTCTCCCTTATACTGTCGCTACCATTTCATCTCTAGACACTGCATGCATCCTGACGTATTTCAGTGTATGGAAGCAGTAGTAGAGTTTGGTGATTTCCTCTTTCAGCTATACGAGGCTTGTTCTCTAATGATGTCCTTCAGGCACAGAAGAGTTCTCGGAGATGCTCCACAGGAAACTGCTTCATTCCTGCCCCAACTCGCCTTGTTCCACAATGCCTGTTATTCT